ATCCCTCCTGAAGTGGGGCGTACAGAATTGGACACAGTACTCCAGCTGTGGCCTGACCAGTGTTGCATAGAGGGGGAGGATCACCTCCTTGTCCCTGCTAGAGATGCACCTGTGGATGCATGGCAAGGTCCGGTTAGCCCTTCCAACCGTGACCTCGCATTGTCGGCCCATGTTCATCTTGGAGCCAGTAATGACTCCAATATCCCTTTCTGCTTCTGTGCTCTCAAGAAGGGAGTTTCTCATCTTATAAGTGTGCTGCTGGTTACTACTGCCCAAGTGCAGCACCCTGCACTTGTCAGTGTTGAAGGGCATCCTGTTTTTGCTAGCCCACCCCTGTAACCTATCCAGGTCTTGCTGCAGTCTTTCCCTCCCTACTAGCGTGCTCACCTCATCCCAAATGTTGGTATCATCAGGGAATTTAAACAGGGTGCTTTTCACCCTGTCGTCCAAATCGCTTCAGATTCAGTTTTGGCCAAATCAGAATTGGGGCAGTGATCTGAATCAATGAATCAAATCGCTGTCCCCGATTCAGGCTGAATCTGAATCAAATACAGCTGGTTTCGCACACCCCTACTGTTTAGTCGCCCACGTTGAGGACATACGGATTGAAACTTAATCTCAGAGAAGAATCTTGTAGCAAATACCATGTGTAGCAAAGCTCCATTACATTTCTTTGGTAGCTTTAATTTTATGTGCACACACAGGAGCAGAGTTCTAGATTGTTAGCCACAACTTCTTTTTGTTGAGTGACCCTTAATAAATAGCACGATATATTAGCACGGTTCAGGAGAAGATGGGGCATTGAACAGAAATAGATGACAGGTTAAACTCAGGTATGGTTTCCCTTTGGTTCAGAATCATCAGAATTATGTTGCAGTGTATTGTGTTGATTGTCTGATCTTAGCATATCAAATATGCCATACCTTGCAAAATATGCTTTCAGTTTCCTGGTCAGCTCTTGCTATAGAGGATAGCCCAGTGTTCAATAAGCTAAGGTGTGGATTTATAGTATTTTAGCTGCTCTGTACTAGCTCATGGTGAGGACATTCACTGTATGCTTAAGAGTGCTTTTGTGCAAGATTAGATTTACTCTGCTTAGTGTCCATGAAGTGCCTGTACAGGGAGTTATAGTATGAATTACAGTGCACTGCATACTATCTCAGGGTTTCTCAGCTTTTGGCTTGCAGTCCAGATATGGTCCTTGGAGCCATAGGTATCCAGCCCACAGGGCTTCCCACAGATTTGGAAATTTGGTGGCAGGGGAGTGGTGGCCATAAATATGGCCATCCTCTCTGTCCTGCTAAATTTCCCAAACCCCAAGCCCTGTGCAGCAGGTTGGGGGCAGGTCACATCACCTCCCACATGTCCATGGCTGGATGGAGCTGGGCCCTACCCTTTTCTCCCTTGCAGGGCTAGGTCAAGGCCCCTTCCCCCCCACCCCCCATGGGACTGGGTTGCAACTGGGCCATGCCCCTTCCCCCTTTGGGGCTGGGTTGGGGCTGAGCCATGCCTCTTTCCCCCATGGGGCTGAGCTGTGCCCCCTGCCAGGTTGCAGTTGGGATACCTACTGCCCCCTTCTCAGCCAGATGGGGCCCTGCTGTGATTGCTGTGTTGGATTGGGATCATCAACTGGATCCAGCCTGCAGCTGGCCTGGGCACTGTCTAGCCAGCTCACTAGCCAAAAAGGTTGAGCATCCCTGATGTGGTGTCACAACTTTCCTTAGTTTTTTCTAGTTTCCTTTTGGGAGAAGTAATGGGCTTATTATTTTTAAATGAATCTAGAATAATGGTTCTCAAGCCGTAGTCTAAACCAGAGGTCAGCAATGTTTTGTATCAGGAGACTGCTTTAGCAGATCTTAGCTTCAAGCATGGGCTGCTTTCAGCCCGCCCATGCCAAAGTCTCAGCTGTCACTTCTCCCTGGTGCCTAGGCAAAGCCCTTTGCTGCTAAAATGCCACATACATTCCACTGTA